AACAATAACGCATGCATTTATAATTTATTTTTTTCTCCACATTCCCCCACATTTACCTACGCGACCTGCATCTCCTTAAACCAGTTCTGCCATCCTTATCTCATTACCTCAAGGTAAATGAATTCATGAATAACTTGGTCTATTCATCTGAGGTATAAAACACACTCACGCAATAAACAAATAAATCGAAAACCATTTAGTGGATAAAGTCAAGAAATTGTTATCTTATAGGAAATAGATAGAGAAGACACTTCTCCAAGTTTTAGGTTTGTGCGTTTTCCCACACTGCAGGCATTTGTCGAAATGTTTCGCAGAAATTTACAGAGCCCAGTATGGAGACGCCATGTTGATGCACCTCTGTGGTGCACCAATATGGCGGTCGGAAAATAGTGTAAACATCTGGAACTTACTTTGACTATCTAGGCGACTGATTATCTGTGCCGAACAAACAAACATTTACATAAGCACTTTCCCTAATGATCTAACTTCTAAAAAGCTAAAAATCATGAGATNCACTTCAACACACATATCTCTCCTAAAAAGTCATTTAGTATTCATTTACTCATTTATTTATTTATTACTCATTTACTCATTACTCATTTATTTTGTATTCAATAGTACAAATCTTAAAACGATAACACATGCATTTATAATTTATTTTTTTCTCCACACTCCCCCACATTTGCCTCCGCGACCTGCATCTCCTTAAACCAGTTCTGCCATACTTATCTCATTACCTCAAGGCAAATGAATTCATAAATAACTTGGTATATTCATCTGAGGTATAAATCACTGCCACGCAATAAACAAATAAATCGAAAACCATTAAAGTCAAGAAATTGTGATCTTATAGGAAATAGATAGAAAAGACACTTCTCCAAGGTTTAGGTTTGTGCGTTTTCCCAGACTGCAGGTGTTTGTCGAAATGTTTCGCAGAAATTTACAGAACCCAGTATGGAAACACCATGTTGATGCACCTCTGTGGTGCACCAATATGGCGGTCGGAAAATAGTGTAAACATCTGGAACTTACTTTGGCTATCTAGGCGACTGATCATCTGTGCTGAACAAAGAAACATTTACATAAGCACTTTCCCTAATGATCTAACTTCTAAAAAAGCTAAAAATCATGAGATAGGTATATATTTTGTCAAAGTTGTCTGCGGATCCACTCGGCTACAGCCTCCTTGATGCACAGCTACTTTGACAATGTTATGACGAAATTCATTATCAATAACAGGACAGATGCATAAAAAACTGACGTCAATTTGTTAAATTCCCTTACTCTGCGTACGTTTATGTAGACCATAGTCAAAGAAGGCGTCTTTTTTCTTTTTCCATCTCAATCTACCTGACCCCACGAAGCAGTGATAAGTCGCATCCTCAGGGACCCAGGGGGAGTTTATTTATCTATTTATTAAGCTTCGGCCTTCTATTGCATATAAAGAAAAAGAAAAAAAAAAGGAGGAAGTAAAAAAAAAAAACAACAACAACAACAAAAACAAAACAAAAACAAAACAAAACAAAAAACAGACAGCAAAACAAAACAAAATGGCCAGGGGAGCCGCTACAGCTTAGCCAATTACAGCGGCCCCCTTAGTCGGGACGAGAAAAAACTCGGCATAAAATTGGCGAGATCACCGCCTATTCTAGAAAGGTGAAAAAAAAGCTTGTCTCGTAGCTCTTGAAAACTTTGGTTCGCCCATATTTGCCTAAGATTCTGTGCAGAGATAGTTTTATTTCCTTGAAGGTATTTTTGCTTTATCTCCTTGTCGAAGAAGGAGGGAAAACCTCACATAATATGCACTGGTTGATTCTCGGCTCTTCTTCCTGGGCTCTCTTTTCTCGCCTTTTCTTTTTTGCTAATCCTGCTATGCTACCCCTTTTATCTTTCAAGACTCTCCCCAATCCGTCACCAGTCTTAAAGACGAGTCAGGAAAAACACGCAGAAGAATGAGCACGAGTTCGGTTAATAATGCATGATGGGTATCATTCAAAATGGCGGAAAGTTTGAGATATTTCCCTCATGATTTTTCTCTGAGGACAATCCAACTTTGTCGCTCTATGGTCACGTCCAATACTGTTTTAATCGTGGAATGCAATAAGTTGTAATGGCAGGAGCGAAGCCGAGCCTCTTTAAATGGAACCGGCAAACAAATCCAAGGACGGTAAGCTTGTAAAAAAGAGCTGAGGAAAGTTGTTTCACTGTTGTCAACTTCGATTCCTTCATTTCTCCTGTCATATTTAATTTCTACAGCACTCA